GGGGGGGGGGGGGGTTGGGGTCGTCGCATCACACAGCCTGATGCGTCCCCGCGTGCTGGCGGGCACGGATCTGGCTGGCACCCTTTTACGGTATTCAGGTCGGAGCTAGGGTCCGGTCCCTCCGAGCCGCGGTGGGGAATAGACGAACGGGTCGTTTTACCGCGAGCTTTGGCGAGCTTTTGCAAAACCCGAAAAAATTGCATACATTGCCCACACGGTTCTCAGCACACCAGTAGCACACAGCACACCCCTACACCTCAGGGACGTCCAGGACGAGCGAAAGACATCATGTTGAGACATCCATCATGTTTTAAAGCCTCCGTTAAACGGTTGTCCCTGGCGAGACCGGAGAAATGAGCGAAGAGATCGACAGGCATGTGTTGCGCAAGTACGAAATCGTCCAGAAGCTCGGCAAAGGCGTAGGCGAAGGGGCAGGCTCGGCAAGCGCATGTGCGTTTCTCCACCTCAGGCCTATGGGATTGTTTGGAAAGCCATTGACAAGAAGATAGGGGAGGTGGTGGCGCTCAAGAAGATATTCGATGCCTTCCAGAACGCCACTGATGCCCAACGGACTTTTCGAGAGATCATGTTCCTGCAGGAGCTCAACGGGCATGATAATATTGTCAAGCTGTTGAATGTGCTGAAAGCCGACAATGATCGCGACATATACTTGGTTTTCGACTACATGGGTAGGCAGCAGGAAAAGGCATAGATGACGGTGTGCACATGACCTGCGCATGGTTATTTTCAGAGACGGACCTGCATGCTGTTATCCGCGCGAGCATCCTTGAGGTGGGCGTGCTTGGATTTGGCATCTCATGTCACTGCTTGCGCTCTGCCGGCATGCAGGAGATTCACAAGCAGTACATCGTCTATCAGCTTCTGAAATCGCTCAAATACATGCACTCAGGCACGGGTGAACCGATCAGCCTCCTCTCACGTATTTCTTTTTCTTGTCAGGGGAGCTACTTCATCGTGACATGAAGCCTTCCAACATCCTTCTCAACTCCGAATGCCATGTTAAAGTTGCAGATTACGGGTAAGTGGCGGCCAGGCAACCTGGCATGGACGGGATATGCGTGTGTGGGGTCCAAGGCTTGCCCGGAGCGTTGCGCAGAGTGACAGTGAGGTCGGCACCAACCCCGTTCTTACAGACTACGTGGCAACACGATGGTGAGCCTTCCATTCCATCCCGTCTACCAACCCCGTATCGGTTTGTCTGCGTTCAGGTATCGTGCCCCTGAAATTCTTCTCGGCTCTACCAAGTATACGAAGGGTGTGGACATGTGGTCACTTGGGTGCATCCTGGGAGAGCTTATCGGAGGGAAACCCACCTTCCCTGGTAGACGACGAAATGACTTGATGCGATAGCAAGAGAACGCCTTTCTTTTCTGTGTGACAGGGACATCTACTATGAATCAGCTGGAGAGGATCATGGAGGTCACAGGTGAACAGAACACCTGTAACCAACCGATTGCAATATCCCTCTATTCCTATGAGCCAGGCCGTCCTTCCCAAGAGGACATCGATGCGATGAAGTCGCCATTTGCCGCCACCATGCTGGAATCGTTGCCGATGGTTCGGAATCGGTGAGTTTACGAAAGGAAGGGACCATACGGTCAACGCAACGATTGTTGATGCACTGTCTATGTATTTGCGCAGTCCTCTGACCGAGATGTTCCCTACTGCTAGTTCTGATGCGTTGGACCTTTTGAAATCTCTGCTGCAATTCAACCCAAATAAGAGAATCAGGCAAATCATCGCACAAGGACATACAATGTTTGATTTCTTACCCTTCTGTCTTCAGCGCGGCGGACGCTTTGCAGCATCCTTATGTGGTGCAATTTCACAACCCCGATGATGAACCCGAGTGTGGCCGGATCATCAGGTGACTCGAACAAACATCACTGTGGGGGGACGTGTGATATATGTGTAATATTCGGACACAGGATTTCGATCGATGACAACACCAAGTCAGGGTTCTTGCAAGTGGTGCGAAGCCATGAAATGAGGGGCCTTGCCTTTCTTTAGGTATTCAATCGCCGACTACCGTGACCGCTTGTACAGCGAAGTGATCAAGAGGAAGAAGGACCAACGAAGGCATCGTCTCAGAGACCCTCAGGTACTAAGGGGAAGAAAAGCAAAGACCACCTACGACTCCAGCCCTGTCGTTCGTACAAATCAGAGCTCATCCGGTTCGGTTCACGTGGGCAGCAATAGCAGTGGCCCAGCAGATGGCGGAACCAGCGGTGCCGGTTCTGCTTCTCATTCGCGTGACCGCGTCTCTTCCTCTGGACATCGCCAGCGCGAGACGCAGCAATATCCTTCCTACCACCCGAATCAGCCCTCCCACAACCACAACCACCACCACGGCCAAACGCAATCATATGCCAGTCCCAATGGGCAAGCTGCCTACCAACACAACCACCACGCTTATCAGCATCAGCAGGTGTATCAAACACACAGTGGAGGGACTACTGCAAGCCGCGGGGTACGAAAGGAAGGAATAAAAGCAGCTTTCCTGTGCTGATGCTGTTTTTTCCACGTGTAGGGCAGGGGGCTCCGCTAATTGGATAACTCATACTTCGCGAGGACAGGCGGGTGTAGCGACTCGGGTGATTTACGAAGCAATCATATCAAGCATCGAATTGACACGTGTACCATGCCCATCGGTCTCATTCACTCCAATTGCAGAAAGACTGTTCTCGACCACTGGCGGGAAACAAAGGCAAAACTGGTTTTCCAGCGCCAGAACCGTTTTTCGCCCGAAGAACGGGCGGAACGCCCCCGACGGAAAACCAGACGCTTTGCACACACACAGGCCCTCGGTACAGAACACGGACACGCAGGGGCCAGACATAGGGGTTACAAACTGTGTTTTGGGTGGAAAGCTGAGCGCCTACAATGGAAAACTGCTGTTCTGCAATGGAAAACTGGGGTCCTCAATGAGAAAAGTGAGCACCTGTACCGGAAACCTGAGGCAGATCCTGAAAACGGGCCGTTGGAACGGAAAGCTGCGGTGGAAAACTGGTGTTCCAATGCAGTTTTCCCTGCTGTGCGCCTGGTTTGACCAGGAGATGTGTGCGGCAGGATCCAAGGTGTCATAAATTGTCATTCCCAAGCGACCCTTCTGAGAGATGACGGATAGTCGCCTCCCGGGCACCTGCGTGTCGTGAGACAACACGGCCCATGCCCATGGTCGCCCACTAAGTCGACGCTGTCGCAATCCGACGAAGAGAATTCGTTCTCCCCCAACGCCCACGGAACGCGAATCGGCCGAGACATACAAAATCGAATCGACGCGAGGCACAGAAACGACTGGACGGCGTGCGCAACCGCAAATTGGCGAGGGTACGCTGCCCTAAGTACGACCCGATCGCCAAGTCGGCCTTGACGTACTTCGACGGACGAGTATTTAATCTCTCTCGGCGCCAACAGACGCAGAACAAGCGAGCCGTAAATTGCCGAGAGCAAGCTGCCCCGTATGTCATAAAGATCACTGTCGTGATTCGACGGATTAGAGTTGATTGAAGCGACACCGTGCGCTCATGCGTGGCGACCGAGACTGTACCTCCGTTTCGATGGAAGTACACGACGATGACGCGACGCCATACGCCATCGACACTGCGGCGAAAATACCCGAGGCCGTAAGTCGAGAGAGATCACGCACTTTAGCGAAACACTGTCCTGAGATCGCGGTCTGACATCGTGACGGCCTGAAGAGCCGCAGCGACCGAAAGCCGTCGTAGATGAGAGTGTAGCCGCCGTCATGAGCGACATAGCGTCACTCATGTAAGACGATCGACGGGGACTCCCTCGGCCTAGATAAATTCATGTACCGTAACGCACCAGTTGTGCGGTGCGAACTCCTGTTGCGATCCGTCCTACGTGACTGTGGAGAATGGCAAGCTGGTCATCCAACTGAGGTATCTGGAGCAAAAGCGAAGACTACCGAATGGAACGAGGGTGCATGTGAACAGACGTGCTACGCATGGTTCTCCGGCGGTGGGGTCGTAACGAGACAGCGCTACCAGTAGGGGAATCGTCGAGGCTCCGACGACACCGAGGGGTACTCTTGTCTGCCTTTGCTTCTCTCGCTTCTCATGCAGGTACGATTACTTTGAGACGCGCGCGAAGATAACAGAGGCACGCGGCTGGCACGAGGGCTTCTGGACGTCATCCTCTGACGGAGGCAACGACCAGCATCCCCTCTCATCCGAACCAAGGAGCGAGTTCGACATATTCGATCATCGCGGCTATGTGGAACCCTCAGACTTCCATTTCATCGTCCAGAGATGGACGGGAGGTGGCCCTTCGCCGAGACGCGAGTGGCTGGTGGCCAAGGGAGTGCGCGGCAAAGAGCTCGACATGTCCGAGCAGGGGAATTCCAGCATCCTAGCCCCAGCAGAGCAGGATGAAGACACTGGTGGCTCAGCCTGGCGGATCAATACCACGTTTTCTCCCTGTGGTTTGACCACGAGCGAGCGGCATGCTACCTGGACGGCAGTCTCCTCCACGAGATCAAGGCCAAGACGAACAGCAGTCCGCCCGACGGGCTCTATGAGAAGATTCCAAAGAGCCTGTTCCACGTGTGGCTGTCGGCAATAACAAACTTTCGAATGAGAGGCGACAGGGTGAGCCCGGCCGGCTGTTACGGGGGCCCCGCGGGGGAGAACGAGCTAGAGTGAGTTCTGGGGGCGATGTTATGTTTGATTACGTTCTCATCTATACCACTGCCTCTCATGACGAGGCGACCACAACCCTGTAAGACGAACGAAAAAAAACGACTATGGTCATGCCTTTTCGTTGGATGATGATGACGATGCCGGCCTGATTGAAGACAGATGCGCACAAGTGCCACCGAGATGGACAGGGGGTGGCCCCGAACGAGACGATGGGAAGGACAAGCGAGTGAAACGCGAGGGGCTATTAGACGAGATAGTGACCGGCAGCAGATGGCAGTTTGGCACAAAACTTGACGTGAGCCGGCCCAAGCAGGGGAACACCAGCGACCCAACCCCGTCAGAGCAGGAATGAAGCACTGCTGGGGGCTTTAGCCTGGCGGACCAGCACCACGTTTTCTCCCTATTGTTTGACCATAAGCGAGCGGAATGGTACCTGGACGGCGCATTACTATTTGATTGTTCCTCTCTGCTGTCGGCAATGCCGCTGGAACGTTGTCTGAGCGAGGCTCACAACGGTCTCACAAGGTTTTGCATCAGAGAGCAGCTCATGCAAGGAGGACGGCGGCCGAGGCGCGTCAGAGGGTGCGAGAGGCTCAGTCTGCGGCATGGACATTTGAGAGGAAGGCGGCACCCTCAGATGAAGTAAAAGCAACCCGCGCAAAGAAGACAGCAGACAAGCGACAGAAGACTCAAGAGGCCCGGTCGGAAAGGGTGTTAAGACCGCCCACGCAAGGAAGAAAAGAGAAGAGCGGCAGAAGACTCAACAAGCGCAATCGGCATCGGCCAAAGCGGCACATGCTGCCAAAGGGTGGGAGAAGGTAGCGAATGCCTCTCGAAGGAAGCAGGAAGAGATCGGCGTCTGCTGGAGCGGATGGAGGCCGACGAGAAAGAGAAGGGGAAATACATGGACAAGTTCCGCTGGGGCGGTGCTATCAAGAAGGAGCCTGCGAGTCCATGAGTGTCGGCCTACAAGAACGCGCGGAAGTATGTTGGCTGTTTCAGGGATGGTTCTGAAACAGCGACATCCCTGAAACAGCCAACAGCGATACACACAGACACACACACACACACACGCCGACGTGACTAACGGGCGAAACTCACTGTGACGGACACCAGTGCACTGGCGAGCGAACACCCCGCATCTACATCAACTATAACTTATATATATATATATGTAAGAAGTTCCAGAATGGAAGGCGCTGCAAGAAGAGAGAGCTCTAAATTTAGACATATCATGGAGAGAGTGGGCACAATGATGTGTGTCATCAGGAGGGGGCCATTGCCGGTGGTTTCGTACAGAGTTCCACACAACCAGCAGCTCGCAAACAGACGAATCACAATAAGAACGTAGCAGGATCTCTATCAAGAAAGATTTCACGATGCAAACATGTGATAGCCTGTACGAATGATGGAATTCTCGACGATCAAAGTGATAGTGCGGACAGTCACTCCCCTGAGCAGTGGAGGACTAGGTCTCAGAATGGGATGCGGAGCTGATTCGGCCTTCATCGGCGCAAAGCTGGTAGTGCCGAGCCCTCGAGTGTCCGCCAGTGCTCCCTATATATGGCAGGATACCAACACCACCAGAATCCCTCCGCTCGCCATCAAGATCCGAGAGGTGGTGGAACGTTCGCAAGCTTTCTTCAGCTGGTCGCATAGCGTAGTCTCCACTGGTAAGCTGCGATCTGGCCATCTGATATGACAAGCTCAAGGTCTTCTTCTTGCTCCTGCTCTTGCTCCCGTCCTGCGTCGCCCCTACAGATGGATCAGGCATGGGCAGGTCAAAGTCTCGGTTCTGTTTTTTCTTCTACTGGGTGTGACAACTGCTCGGCGTGAAAGCAACATTGTGATAGTCAGGGTCGGCCTGGCGCGTCTTCCAAGGTCGCATACTGCAGCCCGTCAGACAAGCACCATAGGTGAATGGCTGATGCAACTCTTTGTTCGAGGGCCATTGGGTCTGTTGCTGATACGAAAGGGCCGCGCTGGACGTATCCATTGCCCCAGGCCTAGAGAGAATTGATTGGATACTCGCCCCCTTGAGACGAAAGAGAAATCCTGGAAAGGACAAATGCATAGACAAGAGCAGCGTGAAGGACAAACCCTATCCCAGTGCTCCTTTTCACCTGTCAAGTCGCATCGTAGACCCTCCACCGATCCCCCCGTCTGTTTCTTGTCCCTTGCAGGGACTTGCTACTGTTATGTAATACGGATTGTGTGCAAGTAAGGCGGGCGGGGGGGGAGGCGACGTCACGCCGTGTGTGACGCGAGGACCATGACGCCTGTTGGCAATGCGACGAGGAGGCGTTTCGCCTGAGGAGCGATAGGACGGATTCTTGCGATTACTGGAGCGCCACTGGTCATACGACGACGGAGCCACGGCCTCCATACGCTGTCCATGTGCAAAAACAGTAGATACCGTTTATGGCACGCCATTGTCGTCTCTCGCCTACATTGTTGTTGGCGTTTGCGGGGAAGTGGTCTTCCCTTCCATTCCTCAGATGCAGGCGTCGAGGGTTGCTACTTCCTCCTCTTGGTCCCGCTGACGGGGGGCTTGGACTTCTGATAGCCAGACGCACCCTTGCACAAACAATATCGTCACACCTTCGCTCTCCTTGAACTTTTTAATTGCCACGACCTCTTGCGTCTCCTGCATACATGCCGCCATGCCGAGAAGGCCACACACGTATCGAGGAGTAAAGATGAGGTGAATTCATGCTTTCTGGCATTACTCGTGCGTGCAAGGTCCCACTTTGTCTGTCTTCCCCTCCCCCCAGCACAACGAGTCATCAAACGGCTTTCCAACTGCAGTATATATTTGTGCCAGTGCCACTGCCATATTGTCTCCTACCTGAACATTGATCCATTGAAGCTCGTCTTTTGAAGCCCCCTCCCCCTTGAACGGGGGGAGGGGGCGACATTGCATTGTCCGGCCGAACATCTGACTTCACACGATGTGCATTGACTGCAATCACCCATCAAAAACAGTCGATTCTCGGCTTCTGGACAAGTCCTACCGCTAATGACTGAGTCCTCTTCATCCGCTCTTCCCGGATCCTTGCAAAATACAGTCAAATCGTTGTGGCTCTTGCATTCTCCCTTTCACGATCTACCCTAAACGTCAGCCCGTGGCCAATCGCGATCACTGGTTTACTGTTTATAATCGACTTTGGTGCGACACTTTGCCTGGTGTCCCTTCCCGATCGCCTCCCATTACTCGGGGGCCCCTCTACAGCTCTGCACGAGGGGAAGTATTCCGTGTTGTTCGCATGTATGGCCTTGCGGCGCCTGATGGCAAGGTTTACTTTCGATGGGATCTCAATTATTGTGATCCTCTTCTGTTTGCCTTTTCTTTGCTCACCTCTCGCTCACTGCATGTGCATGAAGCGGTCGCCACGTTTCTGCTTTCTGCGAAAGCCTCGCGAAAGTGGTGGGTTGCGTTGCATCCGGTGCTTCCTTCTCCGGACTCGTGATTTTCTATGGACTCACACAGACCCTTTCTTGCGTACCCGTTCGGGGGGCCGGGGGGCAAGGTCCCCGTGAGGTTAACGAACGAACGAACGAACCTCCCCCCTCGTAACCGTTCGTCGAGCCGCGTTCGGGCGAGGCCCATCGAAGAATTTATCGAACTTTAGCATGAGGCCCTGACCTTGTTTCGGCATCGCAACACAACCGCATATGCCCCCCTCACCAACGACGCCCAACACTTTGTGCGAAAAAGGCAATCCTGACACACTTCATACTTATTCATCAAGCTGAGGAGATTGCGTGTTGAGGCACCAAAGGGGTTTACGTTGCGTTACACTGCTGCTGCTCCCCTAACACAACTTTCGTTTGGGAAGATGAAGCGGGCAGCTGAAGGACCGGAGGAGGACGTGAACGGCCACCCAGCTAAGAGGCAAGTTGCTCAAGAGGGAGATCTGGGGCATGAATCGTGCGTGCGCAGGGTTGCTCGTGATGGCGTAGCTGAGGAGGAAGATGAGGTGAAAGAGGACTTCGGGGGCTTCCCGTCGGAGGAGACCATGAATGAACTGGAAAACAGTGAGTCACAGAGCCACATGTCCTTCGTCCGCTCGTTTGTTGTGTGCCCCGTTTGCTTATGTCTCGCACGTGTCCGTCAGTCCAAAAGGAATTGTTCAAACTGGTAGGAACGACCGACACTCAGAGGATCACATGCATCTGATGGTTCGTGCCCTTCCTCAGGACGACGAGTGCGCCAAGGAGCAGATGGAAGTGCAGAAGAAATACGGTGGGGTACACAATCTTTCGTACACACGTATCATAGCGTGTCGCCCGCATACACCTCTCAGACAAACAGAAGAAGCCTGCGTTCGACAAGCGCAACGAAATCATTGCCGCCATCCCGCAGTTCTGGCTGCAAGCCTTCAAGAACCACAAGGGCATCTACATACATCAAGAAGACGAGGAGCTCCTCGGGGTAGGGTAGGGCATGGCAGCAGACAGGGGAACGAAAATAGCGCAAAATTCATACACACAGTCGCATCGTGAGTTCTATCAGCATCTGAAAACTATCGAAGTGGATGACAACCTGGATCACATGGGATCATACAAGCTGACATTCGTAAGAAGTGCTGAAAGGACACGTTTCTTCTTCAAGGTACGCGGGAGTTACTCGCGAGTAACAATCTGTGCATTGTGCAGCATTTTGAGCCGAATGACTTTCTGGAGAGTCTGACAATGTCCAAGAAGACCACGATTCTGGACGGCAATGATGAAGTGTGCGAGATCAGCCCCATCGTTTGGCAGGAGAACATGGTGAGCAGCAGGGAGCAGATTAGCCCTCTGATGGGCGGCATGTGTAGCGTGAACTTCTGTCGAGTCAGGACATTGTATCCCGCATTCGCGAGAGGCGCAAGCAGCAACAAGAGAAGGGAGAATCGCCTGTAGACAGCGACTACTCACTCTTCGAATGGTATATGTACACACATGAGGATTGCCAGTACGTGGGGGTTTGTGTGCACTTTTCTCAGGTTCACGCAGGAGGCTCCTGACGACATACCTGATTTGGGTGAGGTGATCCGCCGCGAGCTGTGGCACGACCCGCTCCAATACTACCTAGAGGTCAGCGGTTGGGCAGACATGCGACGACCAACATGCCTTTGTGTACACTGTCTGCACGCATGTTGCGCAGGAGTGTGACGAGGGGGGTCTGATCGACGAGGAAGAGGGCGAGGAAGAAGAAGATGAGGCCGAGGGCGAAGAGTACACGCCGATGGATGGTAGTTTGGTCAGATAAGGGAAGGCTTCTGATGTGAATCAGTGTATGAACCTTTTTTGCGTGAAAAGACGTGAAAGATAACCCATACGTGGAGAAATAATGAATCATGTTGCCATTCTCAAGATTCACGCCCACACACACACACACGGATAGTGAAGAAAATCGCGGGTCATCCAAGGAAGTGGTTTTTCTCACATCTCGTCCCTTCTCTATCCTTCAGTTGACGTCATCTTTGACGTACCAGTAATACTGGACAAACGGGACTACAAAAGAACCGATCAGCAAGACAATGAGCACGAAAGACGACTTGAACCTGCGATAAGAGGTACCCGTTGCATTGTGTTGATCATCCTTCCAATGTGTGCGTACTGGTTGGCTTTGGTAGCCTCCTTGGACGGCACCTCAAACTTCGCCGATCTGCCCTGCTCAACGCCGATCTCCTCTCCCAACACATTGGTCTCCACGGCTGTCAACGTGTTCAGCATGAACCCTCGAAAGTCTGCCTGGCTGTTGCCTGCTGTCACCGTAACCTGCGGCGCAGTGGCAACCGGGCTGACCCAGCCTGATTCCGGCGCAGGAGGGATGGCAGAGAGCGTTGAACGCCATTGTCGAGGCCTCAATGGACCAGAGCCCTTGATGAATGTGGCTCGAGAGGTGGATCCAACCGAAAGGAGGAGAAGGAAGGCCAACAATAGCGAAAAGACCTTCATTTTGCCGCGCCGTGTAACCCTTGACCGTGGGTTTAGGGTTTGGGGTTTGGTCGTCCCCTGGCTGTTGCGAGGTTGCCATGGACAGAGAAGATGTCCGGTACGCCGGAAGGCGCCGGGTAGAGAGAGGTTTGGAAGGCTTACCTCAGTTTACGACGATTGGACGGCGATGTCTGCTTTGGGTGGGATGGTTTGACGGGCTGCATCCCGGGTGATGAAAAGGAGTATGGATCACGAGTGCTGTGTGTAATCTGTTCATTGTCAAGCAGCGGCCGCCGGTAGTCTGCCGCCCTGGTGAGAAATGGTAGGAGTCTGTGGGCTGGTTCTGGCTTTCTGCGTTGCCGTTTCGACAGCAGACGAAGCCGCGTTCGTCAGCAAGGCGCCTCTCGCAGGTGTGATGAAAAGGAGTATGGATCACGAGTGCTGTGTGTAATCTGTTCATTGTCTGACAGAGCTGCACCACACGCATGGATGCAGCCGTGCCTCGCCTCGAATGCAGGCTGAGATGTCACAGTCTTTGCCCTTCCTGCGTCGCCCCTCTGGCGACGCATTCAAACAGGGATGGGCAGGCGATGTCGGTTTTGATCCGCTCTACTTCAGGTGAGGCTACATTCACACATTAAGTGTTGTGTGTACTCCTTGCTGGCCCCTTCAGTGAAGTGTTCGACCTGAGGACGATGAAGGTGCTGCGCGAAAGCGAGATCAAACATGGCCGCGTCGCCATGCTGGCAGTAGTGGGCTTCATCCTCCAACAATTCATCCACTTCCCTGGTATATATATATGACTCCATATCTCTCCCGTTGCGTGTGTACTCGGTCGTTGCCCTCTTCAGGCTTTCCTTCTGAACCTGATCAAGTGAAGGCCTTCTACAAAGTACCGCCTGCATCCATTGGGTTTCTCATCGCAGCATCGGGTATTGCTGAATGGTATCTTCATAAGGTAGCAATGAAAAGTGCAGAACCAAGAAGCATGCTGCTCAGCCTCTGTATGCGTGCAGGGCAACCTCGACACCAACACATGGTTCACAGGAGACGACGCAGATCGTGAGCCAGGCGCACTGGGTTTCGACCCCCTCAAGATGGCAAAGGGAGGCACGGGATCCGATGACCTCAAGCTGAAGGAAATCAAGAACGGAAGACTGGTGAGCCCGGGAAGCTTCCTTACCTACACCCATTAACGTCTGTGGGTGCAGGCCATGTGCGCGATCGGTGGACTCATTCATCGTTCCTTCGTCACTGGCGAACCCCTCTTCCCAAACGTACGCAAACAGAAAGACAGATGACAGGATGCATCGATAATGACTGCGTCGTGTATCCGGTTGTCTTAAGTTGCTGGGAACTCCGAGCGCTTGAATCGTTTCAGAAAAGGATGTAGTCGATGTACTACGATTTTTGTCAACCATATTCTGTAAGGACTCGATAGCTGGACACACGTCATCCACGTTACTTGACGTCAGCTAATGTGCTTACGTTCGTTTGACGGTTTACTCAGAAAACTAGATCGAACTTCACAGGACAGACCGCACGAAAAGTCTCGTCAAAAGAATAACTTCAGCCGTATACCAGACACATGTGTTCCTTACCAAGCTATGAACCGAAGATGCGCATGTCATCTCCCATGAGCCACCTTCACATGCAATCCGAACGTACTCGGTTGCACAGTATCGATCCCAGTCGCTGTGCAAATGGCAGCATGTGAGATGCATTCTCGCCAGATCCTGCACGCACTGTTGCCGTCCTCATGGGAAGGTTCATGGAGTAGAGGAGGACATGGAGAAGGTGCCGGAGAGTTTGCCCTGTCTCTTGAAGTCACTCAAGCGAAAGTGCCCCTCCACAGACGGACCAATCATATCTCACCTGCAAAAGCACATGAGAAGCGAGGACGTGTCAGAAGATGATGTGCTACTCTCCCCTTTTGCCTGGAACAGCGGAGGTGAACGCCCTTCTCTGGTGGCTGCGCTCAACCTCTCAACATGTGTATGTGCGGGCAACTACCATATCTCTCCTCTGGAACTCTGGGTATCGGAGAGGATGGCGGCGAGCTTTGGCGGAGCTCGCGGCGAGTGACCGGCAGCAGCGCGAATCGGCATTGTGTCCTCCTCCTCCCCCTTGGTTTTGACTGTGTCGAATTGCGTGTTACGTATTGAGTCACACATGAGTCTTTGTCTGATGGATGCAGACGAAAGCTTAACGTGTCTCTGCAGCGCACGGATGTGTGGTTGTGTGGGCTTCATCCTCACCTTATGAATGGCAACGAATGCCGATTACCTATCTGATTGATATCCTGCGAACGCAATACGATAAATCAATCAGTGCAAAGATGACCGTACGTGATTGCTCTATACGTCTGTGGCCTACGCAGATGCAGGCGCACAAGGTTGAACGTGCGTTGACGATGCGAAATCAATGAGAAACCGAGCTACTCTCAGGATATCTTCCGGCGCATTTTGACGCGCGACTGAGCATGTATCCACAAGTTTCTCGAGCCACAAATCGCCACACAAGACGACAACACGGTCACTGAAACACGTTGAACCACACAAACAGGTCTCATTCACTTTCAAACAAGACGCCCCCATAAAACGCCCCCGCATCGTGACAGCGCGCAGTCTCCCTTTGCAAAGCTCCACCGATACCAATGCCTGCCGTCCTACCCAAATGCACTCATCTTCCTATGCATCATCGTTTGCCTGGAATACCAACACGTCTGTCTTTTAAGGCCCCCCGCCCGGGGGGGATTGCATCGCTCCTCTCGTCGAAGCCTTTGTAATTGCTGCCTCCCTATTCCCCAACACTCGCCGCATGCACTCAGCAAACAGAACGATAAACTTGGAATAAAGCGAGTTGCACCACACGTGAATTCTGCTGAAACCTCTGGCGTCTCCTCTTGTCCAGCCCTTCTAAAATACGTACTCAACCTCACTCAACCTCAAGGCGACCAAAAATCACTCTCGAAAAACTGTGTATATTTGTTGCCCGCCATTTCCCTATGCTCTCCGTCTGGCCGATCACCTTTCATTACTCGGGGGCCCCTCCCCCCTCGTAACAGTTCGTCGACACGCGTCCGCGTGGGGTTCCATCGATTCAGCAGCTTTGAAGGCATGCACGTGAATTTGAGGACACACTCCCCATTACTGCATCAGTATAATTCGAAACCCCGGCGGTAGGTGGGCCGGGGGATGCACACGACAGCCCAAGTCCTTTTCTTCCCCATGTCAGTGAGGCTCGGCGCCTCATGACGCCTAGCGGGGCGTGCCACGGGGGATCACCCTCGCCATCACGCGGGCCAACACAACCAAACGCTGCGGTAAGGGCCCAGCCAAAAGGTGGACCACCTCTGCCTTGCTTGCGTGACCATAGCATCTGTGGTCGCTGACTCGAAAGACCAACCCATCCCTCTGTCCTTGAGCTGACGAGTGCCCCACTCGCCCTCAGTCCTGACGTGCGGCTCAGAGCTGGCAGCCCCACGAAGCTGCCCATCCATAGATCCATCCAGGATCCCGTTCAGGTGTCCATCATGGCAGACGCCATCCATCCGTGCCTCAGTCCTCCCTCTCGACAGCCTCTGCTGCGGCCGGAGGCAGGAGGAGTAGAGGACGCCTCAGCTGCGGCATCACGAACGGAGATGCCCACCATAACTTCAGCCCTACACGCACGAGAGCTAGCAGCCACCACACGCTTCAGTACTCGCCTTTGCCTCCTGCCTCACGTGCCATGGTCTGCTCTCTTCCCGTGGAGATCTGCCTGCCTTCCTATTACCGTGGATGAGGGAAGATGGGTGGGATTGGCGCCCGTCCGATGGAGAGGATGAGGTGAAGGCCGACAGACTAAAGATCCAAGGAGGGGATGGATGTTGCCCTGTCCGACACGCCGCTTGCTGCTGGATGCGTAGGGATCTTCACAGGTTCAGATCACACGAGTCTTTGTCCATTCACGCCATGCCGACACAGAATCGCAAGGGAAAAAGGTCTCTTTTCGGCTCGTCTACCGATTACAACGTGTTATGTTTTCGGGACTTCCGTGGTTATGTGTCCCTTTTCCGTGACCCGACCAGTGAATACACGCCCCGCGAAAACGAAAACCAGCCCGTCCTAGCCTGGAGACACGAGTAGCGAAAGAAACCGACGGGAGACATGCAGACAGACCGACAGACACCCACCAAGGAAAATGAGTGTGGCATCCTGTGCAAATGCCATTACCGACCGTCACCATCGTCACAGGTGAGGGAGGAGGTGTAGTAGAGAGGCAGAAGACCCAGGAAAGCCACCCTGGTGGGTGAGCAAGAGGGGGGAAGAGGGAGAGACAAGCACCCACACATGGCAGCAGGAAGTGACCACGGCCGCCAAAACAACAAGGAACGGGCCTCGGTAGACAGTATAGAAGGTGGACTAACACAAGGAAGGCCCTCGAGGGCTTTTGATCCACGAGACGCCTTGGCCCCCATTGCATGCATGCGTGGCCCCACGGGGAGTTCGAGACTTTCTCCCGTCAAACCACTGCAAAAGCTCGCGGCAGCAGCAGCGGTCGTCTGTTGCCCCTTCCTGTGACCTCTCAGCTCGTGCCGGGAGGAGGAGGGTGTGTGTAGTTGTTGGTCCGTAAGCAGCTCATCAACTGCGAGACCTTTAGTGGCGAGTGAGCATCGTCATGTCAGGCGAGGCGACGGAGGAGGAAAGGGTGCCTCCCTCTGGGGGAGAGGGCACAGAAGAGCGACCTCAAGACCAGCAGGACACGGTGGGATGCACATACATGCTCGCTTGCACATGCCTTTGTGCACCACGCGCTTTCCCAGAGAGAGAGAAGAGCCATGCATGGCAGCATGCGTGTATGTTGTTGGGCACGGGGCGGATGAGGAGATCATCCTTGTCGAGACATCGGACCGACTCCGTCCGCCTCATTGGTGTGTGCCTTGCTTGTGTGTCATGCAGGAAATGACAGAGCCTGGCGAGGCGACGGAGGAACCTCCCGTGGTAGAGGACAGCAATGGTGACGCGACGGACACCGTACAAGAGGGATTGGGACTCGGTAGCGACGAGCCGATGCCCTCACACAACGGGGCACCCGAAGGTGCGCACAGCACGGGAGATACAGAGAGAGCGAGAGAGAGAGAGAGAGAGAGGCAGACACGCCTCGCTTTGTCTGTGGACGTGTCCATGCAGGACGCGGGCGGTGGACCAAAGAGCGCGTCAACATGATAGGGCAGGCCCTCACCGGCAGCACCGCCGCCATCAAGAAGAAGCACGCCGGTGTCGGCGGGGAAGGCCTGACGCTGTACCTGGTCCATCAGAGAGACCTCAGCGACCTCGTGTGTGTGGACGACGACGGCGAGAAGAACCTCGACAACAGAGAGAAGGACGGGTACATCTACATCGCCACCTTTGGTGGCGTCAGGGTGAGGCGACGAGGGGATGACGCCCCTTGCGAGCCGCTTCTGATTGATGTCTACGTCGAAATCGCCGGAGGTGAGGAGGCTCAGCCGAGGTCATGGAGCAAACGTCATGAGATGCTCTCATGTGGCTCCTCTGCGTGCCTGCAGGTCGCGTGAGGGAGTATCTGGAGAGCACGAGTTGACCAGCATCGCTCGCTACTCCTTCGATGTGGACCCGATCCAGCGCGAGTGTCGGACGGACATGCTCACGCCAGGTGGGCGATCCGCATGCAACGGACACACACAATGTATGTGTTTTGTTCATGTCAGACATCCAGTGGCAGAATGCGCAGATCAAGCGCCTACAAGAGACCACCGGGGAGCATTTCAACAAGCAGAAACGCCTCAAAGCAGAGTTGGACGCCGTCATGCGACGCATCCGGGACTGCCCAGCGGGCTACAACATCAGCAAGGAGTTCCTCTACCGCAGTGGCATCATGGGGACTGGCTCAGGGCCATCCTCCGGTGGGCGTCGGGAGGGAGGAAGGGGGAAGGGCATGAGTGCATTCATGCCATGTTTGTGTGTGGGTGTTTGCAGCACCCACGACCGGCGAGACCACGCCGACCAACTACACCACAAGCGCATCGCCAAGTGCACCCACCACACACGGTGAGAGAGACGAATACGCACACTCGCTCGTTCATGTGATGCATACACATCTTTGTGGGCTGGTGTGTGGGTGAGCAGGCCCGCACACGGTGCCCCCAGCGTTGAGTGGACCGCCCACGTCGTCCGTCCCGCCGGCGGGCCCCTACATGGCACCGCCCGCCACACAGATGCCGCCGCACATGACGACAGACAATGGTGAGAATATCACACACACACTCATCACACCACACATGTCCTGACTTGGCCATGTGCTTGTTGCAGGTGCGTTGATGGGTGGCATGGGGACGCCGATGGTGCCGGGCACCGGTGCCGTCCCTCCGCACAACTTTAACCACAACCTCAACCTCAACGGCCCCACAGCTCACGCCAGCTTCGGCCCCCACAGCCACGCACACCACCCCAACTTCGCCACCCACAGCCACACGCCCCAGCATCCCATACCCAGCAGCGCACCCACACCTGGCCGCCCCCATCCTGGCCTGCAGCTGTGTCTGACCCGATCAACCTACGACTCGACGATGCCCGCCATTGGCATCGGCGTCGGGAGCACAGGCGTGAGTTTGGAGGTGGCGCCCGACTTGAGGAACGAGCTGATGAAGAACCCGGCCCACTTCGCGAGCCGCAACGAGGTGCCTGCCACGCTGCACCACACCACCAGCGACGGGAGTGTGGTGGTGCAGAGGATGCCTGAGCGAGAGGGCATGGACGGCTCCCACGCTGCCCTCCAGCACTGGCGCATCACCAGTGCGATCATCGACGGCGTCCTCGGCCTCCAGGGCGTCGAGAACAACCTCAAGTTGGAGATGGCACTGGCCCTGATTGCTGCGGAGGTCAAGGCCCAGCAGTCGGCCTCCGAGAGCGGGGTGGGGTTCCCCAAGGCACCTCCCAAGCGCACACGCCCGGAGACGCCACGCAACGGAGGCGATCGCAGCGGTACGACAGACACGTCGGCCCATCAATCATCGCCCATAAGTGCACACATGTGTGTGTGTGTCATTCAGGCCAGTTCGGGCCGACGGGTGGCGGGCGAGGCGGGCGCGGCGGGGGAGGCTATGGGGGCCCAGCTGGCCCTCCGATGATGAGCAGCTACCAGCCCTCCGGCTACCCACCCTCCAGCATGCCGTGGGGCTAGACACCCCACACTGACCGGTAGCTCTGAGTAGATAGAGGGGTGAGGGAGAGACTCACCCACTGATTGCATGCCGATGGAGCTGAGGCTCCTTATAGGCATGCACACTGACTGGCAGATAGACACCAGGAAGGTGACGTAGGTAGGTGTGTCACTTGCAACGGTCAGAGAGAGAGAGACCCACTGCTGCGTGTGACAAGCACGTATTGATGTGAGTAGGGGAGGGGGAGAGAGGGGTCGTTTGTGACCTCTGCCTGCACACCACAGGCGGTGTGTTACTGACTCACTAATGCAACCTGATTGTCGGCTGACCCGACATTGCGTTGTATGCGAGCCGCATGCACCGGTGTCCATGTGGCGTGATTGGTCCATGCATTTGGAGTGCATGGGCATGTGTAGATCCCCCACACGTCTGCGTGTGTGGATGCACGTGTTCATGCGTGCATTTGTGAGTAGAGGGGCAGGAGAGGGAAAGGGTCGGGCTGTGACGAGATGAGAGACTTGAGAGCGAGGAAACAGCAGACACCTGATTGTGCCGTGCTTGAGACATTGAATGCAATGACTCGATTCAACCGATTGAAACCATCACAATCGATCAGTCCCACACAGATATACACAAACGTTGGCACACATCACACGTCATGATGCGCCTGGCTGCAAGCTGTGTGTCTCTGTAGGCTGTTGTCTCATGACACCCACTTTAGTACATTTCTCTTTCCTTGTTCGTGGAAGAATGACAGTACATGCATTAGTGGCTACCTGCATGAATTGCAGTGTTTCCGGCGATAGATGGAGAGCTGAGACATAGACGTGGCAGCAAAAGTCGGTCGTGAGACGTCCCGGTTCGACGGTGTGTCAATGTATAGACAATGCATGCCCGTCCATTGCCCTTCTTGTTCTGACTGGCACTGGTTTGCGCCGGCAAGCGCTAAATACAAAGTGACTGGCTGAGGAGCCGTCTGAGAATTGTACGCGATGATTGGGATTTGTAAGTGAAGCGAGAGAGATACTCTGCTTACTCGGTATGCCGACCGACCGAGACACATTCACCCTGTCCTATGCAGTCAGTTGATTGGTTGAATGATTGATTGACTGATTGATTAATTGATTGGTTCGTGTACGTACAAGCCCCGACTGTCGTCTCTGTGAATCCATGTGGTGCATCTGCCGACACTGTCTGGCTGTTTGTATGTGTTGCAGGGTGACTCAATTCAGTGCATGGAATCAGTCGAATCTCCCTGTCAATGATGATGGATAATGCTTCGCTAGAAAAGGGAGGGAAGGCCCACCAGCGTCGCAGCGGCGGCAAGAGTACGAAACGACAGGAAATGACGTCGAGAATCAGAGTTAGAGTCTCGTTAAACGACTCCTGCCGCTCCGGAGCGACAGGCCTCGCGCTCCAGAGCGAGAGGCGAACGGCGCCGGAGCGGGACGAAAGGCTCCAGAGCGAGAGCTGGCGCTACGATTGGCCACTGGCTGGGCATTACGGCTTTTTCCGGTCATCCCGAAGGACGAAAGTGCCGATTCGTTGATGTTTTCGGTGCTTGTCGATTTTTCACTGATTCCAGCCATCCTCATCCCTTCGGCGACTCCTACCCACTGACTGTGAAGCTGCCTGCTTGATTGTTGAAGAAGGAAGTCAAACCAACCAAGCCCGAGACGTCAAGGCGTGCCAAGAAGCAGACGGAGAGCTGTGTTGCCGAGGTTGCTGGCCTCAGCAGTTGTCGTGAGTGAGTGAGTGTGTGTATTAGTCGTTTCAGAGCCTGCCGTCGTCAGCAGTGTGGTGCATGTCGACCGTGTGTATGTCGATGTCAATGCCGTATGCGAACGTGAGTTGCATGCCGAGTGTCGGGATCAACGGTCAACGTTCGTGGCTGTACGTCGTAGATAACGGTGTAGAAAGCAGGAATCGGTCCATCGAAGGTCAAACACGAAACTGCACCACCACTACACACAAACGAAACACCAGCCACACACAGCAAAGGTGAGTGAGGATGGAGAGGTGAGGTGAGTGGGCAAGGTGGTGGTGTATGTGACGTACCGGTGAAGGCGTGTAAGGTATGCCCAGTCAGTCACCCAACACGCTACTGAACCGAGAACCAAAACACCCTGAACCACCACACACACGCCCACACAGAGAGAGAGAGGTGAGTGGTGGTGAGTATGTCAGACGGTGTGTGTGCGAATGACATACCACATGAGGTAGGCGTAGCTCCCCGCAGGCAGTACCAAAACCAACCCTGTGTCACTGTACACATGGACCTGAAGTACCAAAGGCACACAGAAGTGGTATGCTGGATGGAACGCATCACATGTGTTAGTGCGTACCACCAGTAGGCAGTCTGTGTGTCTCAGCCATCCCAAACACATCCACGACCATAGGTAACCACATCACAACCTGTACGCACCATCAGAGGTCACACAAGCCAGAAGTGGGTATGGTCGTGACCAGTAAGTAGATGGGATGAAGATCCATACCGATGAGATGATCACGACGTCCGAACAAAGGCAGTCCAACCGCATGCCATCATGGACATACACCAAGAGCACTCTGCAGCCATGGCAACATAGGAGAGCGATGTATGTCCGTGTAGGAGTGAGCATGCGGTGTGCATATGTACCTGTGTCATAGTGCACGATGCCCTGGGCGATGGTGCGCTGTCCGTCATGGTCATGGGAAGGCTGCGAGCTACAAGCTCCGTGTAACCGGTAGCAAGTAGCTCGGCCCACTGCACTGAGCCATGGCCAACATCGCACCAATCGCCAACATAACGGAGCGTGGATACAATGGGACCAACCATGATGACATATATGTATAGGCAGCTGCATGTCAGCGCGACACCCCCACCCCCATGTACCCACGCGAGCAAATGAGAGTGTGTCGGTCGAGTGCACATGAAAGTGAAAAACACTTGACCGTCACACCATCATGCATGGATATGAATGGTGTGCACCCATCACACATGTGACATCATACACACACATACCAATGCAATGCGATGAACCCAACACCCACCAGCCCTCCATGGATGACCGAGGGCAATACACATGCACTCACACACCATGAAAAGCCAACTGATTCACATCACTCACTCACTGCTCGGCTTCACCGGCACCATCTTGAGCGTCTACAAGTGCTTCTCCAGTGTGGCGCGGTCCACCGGTTTCGTGAGGATGTCTGATGGGTTGTCAGCTCTAGAGATGTGGACCACGATATGGGTTGTCTGCTCGACGAGCTGGCGGACGTGGTGGTAACGCACATCCACATGCCGCAGCAGGCGGCTGTCCTTTTTGTTGGACGACACGTAGCAAGCACCCATCCCATCGTTGTAGAGCGTCAGCGGCCGCGCCACCAACACGTTGATTGTCTCGAGGGTATGGGCGAGGGCGTCGCCGTGCTTGGCGCACTCAGAGACGCTCTTGAACTCTGTCTCCACTGTGGAGGTCGAGACCTTGGGCTGCGTCTTGGATTGTGCGCTGACGACTCCCATCATATAGACCCACAGCCAGCCTGACGTCGACCGTCGGTCCGCCAAGTCGGCGAACGATGCCTCGGCATACCCCACCAGCTGGGCGGGATCGCCGTTCTTGTCGAAGTGCAGCCCCAGACTCTGTCGATGCTTCACATACCGCAACACACGCAACGCCGCATCATAGTCCGCCTGGTTCCATCGCGACATCCGTTTCGCCAGCTCCTTGGTCGGGTAGAGCAGGTCAGGGCGGGTGCCGGTGGCCAGGTAGAGGAGGGAACCGACAATCTGTCGGTAGGGCAGTTTGCGCTGCGGTGAGTGCTCCCACTCGTCGTCAGAGGGGAAAGGCTCGGTGCCGATGTGTGTGTTGGGGGCGATGGGTGTGGCGACGGATCGGCTGTCGGGAGGGAGGAACATGTCGACGATCTTGTGCGCGTAGCTGGTCTGATGGATGACGATACCGTCGTCCGTGTACTCGATCTGCAGCTCGACGAACTGACGCGCGATGCCCAATAGCTTCATCTTGAACTCAGTCGACAACGTCTCCTTAATCCACTCCCTGCTCTCCGCCGGGCCCATCAGCAACGCATCATCAACGTACAGGTTGACATACAGGTCCTTGGTCTTGTTGTAGAAGAGCCCCCTGTCGATCACAGACTGGCTGAAGCCCACCCTCTTGAGGAAGGCGACCATGGTGTCGTTCCACAGTTTCGGGGCCTCAGGCAGACCGTACCATCCGCCTTTGATCTCGAGGATGTCCTCCCCCTTGATCTTGTCTGGATGGCGGGCGAGGATCTCGTCACACGGGTAGGCGAAGACGGGCTGCTGCTGCTCTGGCATGGTGGTGTGAAGGAAGGCGCTCTCGACGTCGACCTGCTCGATGTCGTAGCGCTTCGCCAGTGCCGTGCTGATGAGCAGCTTTGCCGTGGCTGTGCGGCTGGTCGGCGCGTAGAGTGTCTCGTGTTCTCTCTCGTTCATGCTGCCGTTGATCACCAGCCGTGTCTTGGGCCGCCCGTCTGCCTTGACGACCCTGACCGCCAGCACGTGGAAGATCTGCGAGCCCACGGGGATCGTCTTCTTCTTGCGCCACACATAGGTCTTGTGCTGTTCCAGCTTGTCGACCTCCCCTGCGTCAGCGTCACGCCAGATCTGTTGATCTTCAGGGCTCATCTTGCGGATGATGCGAGGCGTGACCTTCATGCCAGGCATCATCTTGACGGGGCCATCTGCCGACACACTCACGTTGGCCTCGTGCGCCCGAAAGGCGTGCAGTTGCTGGTCCAGTGGTGTGCCGGTAGCTCCATCAGCTTCATCCGCAACGAGTGCCGCACACATCGCAGCAGCTGCAGGGTCGATGGGTGGCGGTGCGCTCGTCTCGACCTCAATGCAGGCAGCCAAGTAGGCCGCCTCCGCCTCCACCTCACTCGACCTCTCCTTGGCTTTGTTGGCCGCATTCCACTCCTTCCTGGCCTGCTCTCTGAGCTTGGTGTCGTTCCAGGCTGCCTTGTTGGTCGCCCGCCGGTAGCGGCGGATCTCCTTGATGCGCGGCCGTTGGTACGCCGTGAGGTTGGGGTATGTCGCTGGCCACAAGATGTGACACGGATAGCCCCACGTGTTGAACGGCTTGCCCCGGTACTCGACTGGCTGGTCGTCACCACCAGCATGGCTGACGTCGCTGCGGTTGAGAGGGACGTCACCGGGCTGCTCAGCAGGGGATGGAGATTGATGGGTGGACGGTGGGTGGGTGGGTGGTGGTGCTGCCGATGCTTGGGCCTCTACAGGTACGGCTACGGCTAACTCGGCGTCCTCGCCCTCAGGACGCGCCGGCTGAGTCACGGGCTCAGCGGCTGGCTGAGTCACGGGCTCAGCGGCTGGGCTCTCGCCCGCCTCCACAGCAATATTATCAACAACAGCACGGCTCTCGCTGGCCGGCTGCACCCCTCCTGACACATGCTCCCGCTGTACACCAGTGGCAGGGTGGCTCTCCTGCTGCCCAGAGCGACGCGTCGGATTCAGAGGGGGGATGGGGCGATGCCACTGATATCCTTCCTCCTCAGACACATGTGCAGGAGGCCTCCTCAGCCTCTGAGGTCGCTCCTCGACCTCTAGCGGCACATGCTGCGATGGCTGCACTGGGGGCTGCTGCTCTAGTTGTCGCTGCTGCTGCTGGGTGGTGTCATCCTCCCCCCCAGCAGCACCCCCTTGGGCATCAGACGCCTCGCCCGCACCCGTCTTGAAGAACGGCAGCCCCGGGAAGGGCGATGGGTTGAAAGGGAAGTCGAAGTGATCGAACTTGACGTCGATGCCTCGGTAGAGACGCGTGAAGTGTCCGCCCGGCAGCAGCGGCAACACTCCCACTATCGGTATCATGTCCTTGTTGTCGGTAGCCCAGCCCAGAAACACTCCCGGCTCTCCCCGTGGATGCACTCGGCTCGCCTGGTGCTCTCGTGGGATGAGGACGGTGGCCCTGCATCCGAATGGATGCAGCTGCTCGCGGCGTGCGTCACGGCCATGCTCCACCCATCCACGTGGTGTGTGTGTGAAGCCATTGCGCTTGACGAGGGACGTCATGTTGTGGATGTTGACGGCATACTGCCAGGCATGCTCGCCGCACCTTGTCGCATTCAGGCCGCTCGTGCACAACGCCGCCCGTGCGATCTCCCCCAGCACGCCAATCGCCCTCTCAGCCTTGCCATGATACTCATGGCGATGTGCAGGGGTCACGATGGGGCCCTCGATGTTGAGCTCGATGAGCACTTGACCGAAGGGTGCGCCGGGCTCACACAGCTCGCTGCCTGGGTCGACAGAGATGGCGACGATGGGTCCGTGCTCGCACTGGATGGTGCCCGTCTGCCGATGGAAGTGCCGCAACAGGTCTGGCGCCTGCGTCTTGAAGTTGGCCGGGTAGGAGACGACGAACCCAGAGAAGGCACACACGAACACCAGGACCAGTATCGTCATGGTGCCCAGCGGCCCCAGCTGGCTCCTCATGTGCCCCCAATCAGCGTGCCACAGCTGTGCGACGCGCATCTTTAACCTGTCGCCGGTAGCCAGTGCGGTGATGGACGGGCGCCTTCTTGGCCTTGCCTTCATTGCATGGTGGGCATGCTGGCTTGAAGGGGAGGCTGGTGACGGGTGTGCCGCCTCTGAGGGTCTTGGACAGACGCGGCAGCTCATTGAAGCCCTTGTGGCCGGCACAGAGGTGGAGGTCGACAGCATTGATAAGGTTCGTGCGCTCCTGCTTGGTCAGCACCAACTCAGGCAGCTGCTTGCCCCCACCAGACTCACACTCATCGTCACCACACTCATCACCGTCGTCGAAGTGTCCATCCCCATCATCATCATCCTCTCCGTCACCCGACTCAGCACTGGAGCACACCTCTACTCGCTCACGGCCCCAACGCCTCCAACGACATCGGCATCCCATCGCCCACTGCGATGCCCCCACCAATCTGCTCAGCCCTGCTGTCGTCCTCCGACGTCCATGGTCTCACCGTCAGTCGATATCCGCCCGCCCAACACGTCAGGGGAACGACCCTCGTCTGCCGACGGCCGTTGATGTCGCACACGTGCCAGTACACGTAGGCCTCGTTGGCCCGCCCGGCGACCTTGTGCATACCCCCTCCCTTAGTGTGTAGCTGGCGCTCGCTTATCAGGTTCACTGGGCAGTCGGGGGCGACGTACACAGTCAGCTTCATCGGGAGCTCAGTGTCGTTCTTGTCGGTGACCATGAAGAGCGCCTCGCCTTTGCTCTCCAGCTGGAGGTTCTGGCCCTCGATGGCTGTCTTGATGTTGAGCCCTGGGGTCGGTCGCTCGGTGCCCTCGATGATGAATGATCTGTCCGTGACGATGTGCATCGAGGCGCCACCATCCACGGTGGCCTCGACCTTGCCTCCCCCCAGCAGCAGAGCGGCTCGCTCATCGTCAGACAGCACCGGCAGCTCCAGTCGATCCTTGTCGAAGTCGAAGTGAGCGTCTGGCGCGGCCGTGAAGTCGTGCCCGACCATCAACTCACACAGGGTGTAGTAGGCCGACTCGTCTGGGCCGGTGTTGGTGGGTGGGGATGGTGGATGGAGTGGTGTGGGTGTCTCGTCGGGTGCTGGTGCGGGTCCGGGCTCGTCCGAGACGGCAAGCCTGACGGTATGGCCACCCCCACCTCTGCCCTTGCCACCACCCGTCTGTTTGGGAGACCACCTGGGTGGTAGGTTGGCGAAGCGGCCACCTCTCTGGATGAGCTCGGCTCGGTGCTTGAAGCATTCGTAGTACACGTGGCCTCCCTTGCCACACCGCGGGCACTTGTTCTCGACCGTCCTCTTGTCTATCTCCTCCTGCGACACCAGACCGTCGCTGGCCTTGGGCCTCGGGAGGCTCTCGTGCTTGCCGTGCCCTGGCGCCTTGTTGCCCCCACCAGACGCGTTGCCCCCACCAGACGCTGACGCAGAGGTCTGCTGCGTCTGCTGGCTCGCACCGCTGCCCTTGGGGGTCCACTTTTGGCCCCGGGGAGGCGTGCCTGACGCGTACGTGGGCTGGTTGGCCTGTCGGTTGCCGCCGCCGCCACCTTGTGCTTGTCGTCCTTGCCCCCCACCTGACTTGTGGTTGGCCACCATGGCCGTTCCCTGCTTGTCAGTGCCGCCGGGCAGCTGCAGGTAGTCGAGGTTGGGGTTCTCGTTCCGCTCCTGACGGATGAGTTGTGTGGACAGCTCCTCCATGGTAAGAGGGCGGAGGCGACGCAGGCCTGCTGCCTCGGCCTGGGGGTTGTTGTCTATCATGTCGCTGAGTTGGTGTCTCGCCGTCTTTATCAGCTTGACGTTGGGCAACATGTGAGTCGGCAGGGTGTCCTTGAAGCGCTGCAGGCGGGTCTCTTCCATGTCGAGTATGCCGCCGGCGTCGAGAATCTCATTCTCGATCGTCCGAGATGTTCGTTGTGGCGATCTCGGCCGTCGGTGCCTGGGGGAGGGAGGTGAGCTTGTTGGCGAGCAGCTGGAGGTGGTGGTCTGCCTGTGGCTCCATGTGCCTGACCAGCGCCTTCCACACCGCTGTCCCGTTCCTCTTCTGCTTGGCCACGGTGCCGACGGTGGACGTTGCCATGTTGAAGAGTCGGACGTCGAGTCGTGTGCTGAGGAGGCCGTACAGCAGCTCTCTCTTGTCCTTCAGTCGCTGGCTGTCTGATGGGTGTGGGTCGTCGGTGAGGACCTGCTCCAGTCTCCATGAGTAGATGGCGACGCTTTCCATGTTCCTCTTCCACACACGCCACCTGCTGTAGACGTCCTTGTCGAACTTCAGCTCGGCAGGCGGGTTGAAGCCCTTCTGGTCCTCAGGGCTGCGCGACCGACTACGCCGCCTCGATGAGCGGCTGCGATGTCTATCATCATCACTACTCTGTGGACTCCCACTGTCCGCCCCAGTGCCACGCCCTGGGCACCGTGGATCGGCGCATGACGTCGATGTGCGCGCCTGACGGTCGCGTTGGTCACTCGACCCCACAAACGCCGACCCCCCATTCTCAGCAGCTCCGTGTGCACATCGCCCCTGGCCGCCCTCGGCCCCCGCCACTGCAGGTGGGTGGACCGATGATCGGGCCTGGCTCCCACTCTGGGGCTGTGCAGTGCTGGCCGGCCGGCCACTCGCTGGTGCCGACGAAGGCCACAATGGCTCCAAAACACGGGTGGTTTGAGGAGGTGGCGGGGGCGGGGGCTGGGCGGTGATATGCTGCTGGGCGTCACCCGGGTATGACGCCGTCGCAGCCGAGTGGGTGACCGCCAGTCGCTCCCCCTGCCCCTCAATGGGCGGGCCCGCCCTCTGCCGCCCAGCTGTGTTGGCAGCATTGAGGGTGGCGATCCGCTCATAGCGTCGATGTCGACATCGCTGGACGTCCAGTCCGATGAGTGTCTTATAGTCGAACAGCTGCTGCAGCGAGACTGCGGTGGTGTGCGACTCGCCCAGCGTGACCGCCTGGATGCGACGCTCGATCTCTCGCTCTCGCTCCTTGTGGTACGCCAGATCGTTGTCGATGTCAGTCAGCTCTGCATCATGCAGCCCCGCCGCCCACGCCGCCACATCCTCCCTGGCCCGCCGTGCTATCTGATCATCCGCCACCGCAGTGGGGCGATGGTGGTGCCCGATGGCTGGCTGTAGGGGTGTGTTGCTAAGGGGTTCGGTTCACGCTATAGAGATAGCGCCTACTCGATGCTCTACTGACGACACTTCTCGATGGGAGACACTCACGATTCAACGACAGGCACACGCACACGATAAGGTCTCACGAGGTCACAAGCAGTCACACACGGCACTGCACCACACCTGCTGACGACGGCAGGCTCTGACACGACTAATACACACACTCACTCACTCACTCACTCACGACAACTGCTGAGGCCAGCAGCCTCGGCAACACAGCTCTCCGTCTGCTTCTTGGCACGCCTTGACGCCTCGGGCTTGGTTGGTTTGACTTCCTTCTTCAACAATCAAGCAGGCAGCTTCACAGTCAGTGGGTAGGAGTCGCCGAAGGGATGAGGATGGCTGGAATCGGTGAAAAATCGACAAGTACCGAAAACATCAACGAATCGGCACTTTCGTCCTTCGGGATGACCGGAAAAAGCCGTAATGCCCAGCCAGGGGCCAATCGGAGCGCCAGCTCTCGCTCTGGAGCCTTTCGTCCCGCTCCGGCGCCGTTCGCCTCTCGCTCTGGAGCGCGAGGCCTGTCGCTCTGGAGCGGCAGGAGTCGTTTAACGAGACTCTAACTCTGATTCTCGACGTCATTTCCTGTTGTTTCGTACTATTGCCGCCGCTGCGACGCTGGTGGGCCTTCCCTCCCTTTCTAGCGAAGCATTATCCATTATCACTGATTGGCGTTGCTGCGACAATAAAAGCCGCCGCTGTGTACTTCATTGGAAAAGCTGGCCCGAGGGATTCAAAATCTATACAGCACCACGCCCAGGAAGTGGGGACAAGGCGATTTAGCGACTTGCCGACATACAGCAACACCAAATCCCGCATGTCCCAGGGCCCTAATGCTGAGATATTTGTTATTCCTGCCATCTTATCCGACAACTCTTCTCGTGCCTTATGCCTCTTCGTGTCCAGACGCATACATAGATAGACACAGCTACAAAAGGGAGAAGGACATGTGTTCTTTTACTCATCGCATGGCTGGTGTGATCGACGTA